TTGCTGCTGTAATCTTTTCGACGAAAGTGAAATGTGCGGTTAACGAGGTGATGAAATTAAAAGTGTGATTTATAGAGAATCGATGAACGAAAGAATAATGTGTTTATAATGAATCAACGTGAATATATATATATAGGTATCAGATATTTCATTTTATTTTTATTTCTATTTTTAAGCAATAAAAGTGTGATTTAAAGGATACCTGTATTTTTCTGAAAAATCAGTTGACAGTAACTTAATGCATCATAAATCAGATTTTATTACACTGAGTTTACTGGTTCGTAAAATAAATATAAAACCAGTTATAAAGGAGCCGTTTTCCAATCTACAACCTTTAATGAATGTAGTGCAAGCTTTATGCACATGATCACTGTCTTCAGGTTAATTTACACCGATACTCATTAATATTCTTCATAGTTACTGGATACAGTTGAGTTTGTGTCAAATTATTCCTTGGTTCAACTATTGAAGTCAATTTGACATAAATTAACTAGCAAGTGCTAGTTGTCTCTAAATTTTGTATACTATTTAACTATCAATTACTTAAGCCCAACTCAAAATGACTCATTCACATATTGCGTACACAATCCAACTATCTCTTACAGGCAGCAACAACTTCAACTAATTAAATCAATTGCAAGTTTCACAAAATTCCACTATACAATCCCAATGAAGTACGACTGTACAATGCAATTGTACGAGAGCTTTTCCGCACTATACAACAATACGAAACTCCTTTCAAAACTTACAAAACTCCAACCTACAAGCATCTACTACAAACTATTAAAACCATCAGCATGATTAAAACGAACCCAACTCACCTCGGGATTCTTCAACATATAGTCCAAGTGTTCCTGCGTGGTGTACCAGCCCATGAATATCGGTATGAAACTGATCAAAGCAGGCAGGATCCACGCGCTGCCCAGCATACACCCCACCGTTCCCTGTCTCATGATCACAGTATACTCGAGCGGGCTGACGATCGCGTAATACCTGTCCACGCTGATGCAGCACAGGTGAAGTATCGATGCGGTGGAGAAATAAACGTCCAACGAGTTCCACACGTCGCACATGAACCGTCCGAACAACCACTTACCGCCCGACAATTCCGCGGACGCGTTAAACGTCATCGCGCACATAGCCACCAAAAGATCGGCCGCTGCCAGGCTCACCACGTAACAGTTCGTCACCACGCGTAATCTTCTGTGCCTTCTAACGCTAGCGATGACCAACGCGTTGCCTAACACAGCCGTCGTGATGATACTGCCCATGATGATGCCCTTGATCACCACTACGAACACATTCACGTTCTCAGGCAGGTTCTCTACCGTGGGATTCTCCACAGGGACCGAGGTGACGTTGTTGGCTGCGGTGCTGGACGAGGTACTCGCGTTACTCGGAGGCGTTGGAGTTGGGTCCACTCGGCTGGGCAGGCTCGTCGTCACCGCTGCCATTACGTTCAACATGGTGGACAAAATGTCTGCTGCACCCCGGCTGCTTTACTCGGTCATGGCTTCAGGGATCGCCTGACCACGTTGATCATGATTAATTACTCTCTCTGTTGTGATCTCTGCTTCCCTTACACCTGCTCACGGTACTCGTGTATAGCTGATCCTCTGGTGAATATAGTACCCAACTATACTGTTTCCTGTCTCGGTTGGGACCTCTGTTTGCTATACTCCGATGAGTAGAGCGCCCAACTCTATCGTTTCCTGTATTAAATGTGGACTCTGCTTGCCTTACACCTGGTGGTCGTGTTCGTGTAAAAGTGACGAGTAGAGTAAGTACTCTGTTATCTCTTGGGCTTCTTGGACCTTCTTGATGGAACTTGACGACTGAGATTTTTAGCAAACGGAAACGTAGTCGTTTGATTATTCAGGGTACTCTTTGACGAGGAATATGTGGTCTTTTTGGGCCCTCAAGTAGGAGCTTCTTTGCGAAGCAGATGTTTTGATGTGCTTGTCAGCATGATAGGTGATCTTGGTCGATGGATGTGTACACATGAAGATCGAAAACGATCGTCGAATGTCCATTGTTAGCCAAAGTGCTCCTAGGTGTGTTTGGTTGGAACATTGATCTCTGATGTTTGTAGAAAATGTCCATTAAGCTGTTTCTTTTATGAAGCTCGTTCGTCCAGTGTTTGCTGTCACGATTACGCACGGAACACTGTGTATAATTAGAGTCCGATCTCTGGGATGTTGTTCGATTCGTGTTGCACAGCGGCGGCTGCTTATCGAGTTAAACGAAAGCTATCGAAGGCATTAGCCTAATCCCGCTTGCTTCTGATTCAGAGCGCAGTCCCTGCAATTCAGAGATACACGTAATCGATAAATTAGAGCTGAAGAATTGTACTCCTTACGCGATTAAGTGTAATTTAATTTGTCTGGTAATTATTCCATTTGCTACGATCAATGGAAACACGTGAAATATATATCATTGTCAGCTACTGTTACATAGTAGTTCACGACTTTAAAAAAAAAAAAAAAACAATATATTACCTAAAATTATATTCTCAATGAAAATTGAAAACAATTTCTAAGAGAATTACAGTTCCCGTAATCAAGACTCGAAAATTACACTTTCACGTGCCACGTTGAATTTTCTAATTTCTACAATATTTAACATAACACGTGTTTCAATTTTTCCAGTTTTTCCAACTCTCTTTCGTTCTATATCTCCTTATTAAAATCAATTAAAGTTCAAATATTACACATCGACGGTTTCTGCAATCCCCTTTCAAACTCGAGGTCGCTATTAACCCTTAATTATTCATGCTATTCAGTCTCATGTATGTAGGTACTCGTTTCGGGTCATATTGGCTCGAGAAACTCAACTACAAAGGAGTCTACTTAAATGCGTTACGTTACAAGAAATAGAGAAACAAATATCATTATTCACATTGCTGTGTACTTACGCTGAAAGTTACATTTACTTTTTCCAACTCAGAAAAAAAGCGACTTCAAAGGACCAAAGCATAAAATCAGTAATTAAGGGTTAACTCTTCACTGACCCATTACTTCCAATTTAAAAAAATTTTCAAATTTCTACTATTTCAAAAACTTATTCCAAATTCTCCCTAAAGGCCATCAAAATGGATAATTAACAAAGATTCTCGTAGAAAAATCTTTCCAGCGAACGTGAAATTCCTGCGACACTTGCCGCGACCCATTTAAGCATGCATTCGCCCAAAATATTAATCACCGAATTCCATGTGCACGCTGACGAGGTGAGCGATTAAAGGAACTGCAGTTGCGCGTTGGCAATTTCATCGGATCCACGGGCTGCGATATTTCGAGAAAACGATGCGATAGGTAAAGCAGGAAGCGAGATAATCCGTGTAGCGTGAACCAGCTGACAGTTCGAACCGGAAATGCTGGCTTACATCTTTCACCAACATTCTCCCTCCTACGAAATTTAATATTCTGATATTAAACTTTTCAGGGAATGCCTCGAGACAGCTCCTGACGTTCATAAGCGTTTCCTCATTGTTGTGTTTATGACGACTTTAAGTGGATTTGTTTGAATGCCCCGCCATTGTTTCTGGGAATATTAACGAGACTTCCGAATAAGCAATTGCTCCTCTAGAATCTAAATGTTACTTTAAAAAGTGAAACACCGTGGAATATCGCGAATTTTCGTTACCTCAATTTTGCAGAAATAATGGACGAGTAGCGTAAAGTAATCAATGAAACTTTAAAATATTAAAAAAACAAATATTCCAAGAGGAGTAGGTAAAAACTAAGTGTCGACACAAGAAACTAAAAAATTCTTTTCCTCAAATTTTTCTTCATCCCATTCACAGTCTATTTCACGTCCAGTCTTCAATTATCAACAAAACCAAAGAGAACCACTCGTTTCCAAATACCATCTTTCATAAAGAAACGTTATCTCCTCGAAGGAAAGATCTTTCTCCTCACAAGACGTCCAGGCAATTTTCAACATCTCCAATCCGAGTGGCAGAAGAACGAAAAACAAACTTTTGACATATCGTGTTAATAAATAACTAAAAACTTCTTTTCCTCAAATTTCTCTTATTCCCACTTATAACCTTCGTTTCCAGTCTTCAATTATCATTTCCCCGCAAAAACTGCGAACCATTCGTTTCCAAATATCATCTCTCATAAAGAAACCTTACCCCACGGAGGAGAGATCTTTCTCCTGGCAAGACGTCCAGGCAATTTTCAACAGCTCCAATCCGGGTGGCAGAAAAACGAATCGCCCCATTCGCATCAGAACAAAGGGGAATCGCTCAGGCTGGTAAAAAGAAATCGGAAGAAGCAAGGTACAAAGAATTACGAAACCCGGCTGGTGCAGGCTTCGCGGCGCAACAGCTGTGTGAGGCCGCAACAAATGCCTTGTTCAACGTCGCGACAACTTCATCCTTCGCGGACTTCCGTTACAAATTGCATCGATGACAAATCACCCTATCTCGACGCCCGTTCCCACAACCATCCTTCTCACTTCCCTCTCCCTCTCTCACTCTCTCTCTCTCGCTTGCTCGTTGGAAAAAACGTTCGCGGGAGCCTTAGTTTCTAGTTAAAAAGTGATTGCACCAAGATGGAGCTATTTGCGAAGAAGATTACAAGAAGGCTCGGCGGAATTACGCGGCGTGACGATGAAATACTTTTCTCCGTCATCGTGGGACGAGGAGGCGCGTCGCGCCGCATGTCAGCGAATATAATGAAAGAGCCAGGCGAATTCTGGACTGCTGCACCCTGCTCCGCAAGACCTTTAATTACAATCGACGTCGACGTGGCCGGTGGTACACCATGTGGAAACTGTATTCAAGAGGAAAACAGGGTTAACAACATTTGCGAGGGGATATTTCACGCTGCATAACCGCAATTTTGTCGGTCGTGTGTGTTGCTAGGGGTTGTCCATGCTTCCGGGTTCACGGCATTAGCTCGAGCGGTCACACACTGCAGGCAACTATAATATCTTTTCGTTTCATTAGACAATAGCAATTTACTAGCTTGCCTGCAGGCTTAGTCGCTGGGACCAGGAGTGACATAAATCCTGGGAACCTCCAAAGGGCAAATTGAAAGCGGTTTCACATTTTACCAACGTCGGTGGGCCTCTTCACTTCGACAAAGTCTAGGTCTTGCGGATATTCCACGAACACTTTCTCCAGTGCACTCCAGCCTCAAAATAGCGCGCTAAAGGTGAAATGTCCTCTCATTTCTCGATGTCCGGGGAAAACTGATTGGTGGTTTCGCCAATCAGGGTGTTCCAAAGCGATTCAGAGTCTCCATGCACAGGTACCAGGAAAACTTCGACAGATTCACTCCAGTATCCAAATAGAAAACCAGGGCCGCTCACAAAGTTGCAAAGGAGCGATATTCCAGCAATAGGCCACGCCTACTTGAGCAACGAACCTGTGGTGGAGCACAACATATGGTATGAAAATGCCTAAATACCTACGAGCCTACCATCCCTCCACTTTGTTTCTCACTCTATTTCGACAGTCTCTGCTCGGGGCAAAAAAGAGCGCTCTTGCTCCCGAAACAGCTGCCAAACCGTCGAATTAGCCAAGAGACTTATTCAGTACATCACCTAGACCTGAGTCTCACACTACTGTACATAGAGTGCAGATAAATTGTCACTAGTACTTTGTGCTTCGTACACCAAATGCTAATTTTGCCCCAATTTTATCTAGCCTGAACGACATCGGTCAACCACAGGCATTAACATGTGTGTTTCTGTAGATGATCTACCGAGCTCTCCGATGATCTACCCATTCCATTTTGGTCTTCTCGTCAGGTAAAAAAATACACAGAATTGTATCGTTAAGAAGCAAAATGTAGCAGGTAAGAAAGATTGCCTGATACTTCTGTTGTGGTCCTCTACAAACCTGTAAATCTATCGATCTCTTCTGGAAACATTATCGTCAATTATGTTAAACTTGAAACTTGAACGTCATTTTTACAGAACACTGGTTTAGAATATACGTCAATTTGCAAAACTCAACTTGTATTTCTTATTAATTAGCGGTTGAAAACAGACGAACGAGAGAATTTCTGGCTCTCGTTAGAAATTAATGATGATTATTTCTTGGACAGACGTGCCTTAAAATATACGTTAGCTTGGAAAATGCAATTTGTAACTTCACTGGGAGTGGGGATGAAGAATGACATGAACATTGGGAACATTATGAAATTTATTTCTCTCGTTGGACTAGTTTAAGTGCCCACTGCTTGATTTAGGACGTCCAATGGTTTGGAAAATACAATTCCTGTTCTTCCTGTTACATAATTCTTTCGGAAAAGGTTCAAGGAAGAGAGTAACGTAAGCAATGTAGCCATGAAAATATATTTTTTCCATTGAATTTTATTCGGTATAACTTTTCGTATTTCCGAATATTTCCTGGATTCGATGTAATGAGGTTTCTATTGTTTCAATTAAAAGTTGCATTATACAACATTTAGTATCAAAATTCTCAAATTAGTCAACGATTTGTCCATAAAAT